TTTTATTTATCTGTTTTGGGCACTTCCTTACTTGTTTCATCCTGTACCTACTCTACCCTAGCCCTGGAATCAGCCATTTTACCAAAGATTCCTGGTTCCTTTTCATGGAAATGGTGTTAGAGAACAAAGTCTGGGTGCTAGGTGTGCTCATAATTACTGGGGTGTCTTTGCTTCCATATCCTTTCAACAGAGCTAGGAAATATATGCATTTATATATACATATACATATGCTTACACATACTTATATTTATACATATACATATGTATACATAGATCTTCTAGAAATCATGAATTCACACCAACACCTCCAATTCCAGTCTATTCCCAGAGGACTCTTTCTGGTCTTCCCTTCTTTCATGTTTCTATGTCCCTCCTTCTCCAATAAGAACCCTAACTCCCAGCAACATGGACACATTTGCTCATTCATTAAGTCCTGTAATATGCCTGGAATGATTTCAGCATTGTTTTGTCCATAGCACTACCAAACACGAAACTCCCAGGAAGAGTTTAGCATTTATTTGCTGTTCTTCCCTCACTCGGTCCTATCCAAGGCTGAGAGCCTACAGTCAAGAGATCCTAAGCTACCTGAGAGCTGGTTTTGTCTTTCTCTTCAGTATAGCTGTGCATTCGTTTGAAATACAATTAGATTCATTTGTCTCAATTTACTTCCAGTTTAGGGGTATTTTCCCTCCATCCCATCCTGTTGATTTAATTAAAAATTGTAATTTGTAGAACATTAACATGGTCCCAGAAGTCAAAACTATAGAGAAAGGTATACTTAACAGTGTCCCTCCTGTTTTGCCCTCCCTTTCCATTTGTCCCCATTCTGCATTTTCTGCTTTATCCTTTGGATACACCCTGAAGTGTAATACGCGTATTTTCTTATTTCCACTTTTTTCATACATAAAGGGTAAAATACCATGTACCTTTTTGTCGAAGCCTTTCTTATATCTTTTTTCTTTTGATTGAGTGCACCATAAATAGGATTCTGATCTGGAATAAGTAGGCTTCTGTCACATGTTGAGTTGTTAGATTTATAGTCATTTGTAAAAAGTCAGATAGTTTCTACCAATAGCTGTTTTAAATTTACTTTTGTAGTAGTGACTGCTATTTAGTCCCTTAGTAACAAGCTTCAAAAGTGAGTTCTCATGAAAAATGGAGAACTATTTTTTTCTTCATCCACTGAGGTTGATGGAAGATTCAGTGGACTCGGATGGGATTTTTCTGGAGTGGAAGATTTATCAAGATGGGAATGGGTTATTCCCAATGGAGCAGAGAGTGGTATAGGATTGATGAGGCACTGGCTGGCTCGTGGAGTTCACTCTGAGCCTAGGATCCCATGTGTCCTGTGTTTCTCTCAGTTCTGCTGGGATCATGTAGCTTAGAGCCCACTTAGAGCTGTTTGCAACTTTCCTCCCTTTGGTATTGGAGAAAGCTCCTCCCATGGCCTTTTTCATGCCCAGATTCAACAGCTAAATATTCTATCTTTCAACTTCACATTTGTCCAATGCTTTGTGAATCCCACAGTATTGTCTTAATCTCTGTGAAACAGTAGAACAGGTCTTATGTCTGTTTTGCAGCTGAGGAAACTGAAGCTCAGAAGAGACTAGTGACAGAGCTGGGACTAGAATCTGGGTCTTCCGCCTGAGAGTCCAGTGTGGTCTTGGTCCATCACAAGGACCCCCTCTGCTGGCCCCTTTTCCTCCTATCTCAGAGCCGACAGGAGGAGATTTATGCTTGCAAATCTCTGTTCTGTCCAAATCAGCAAAGTCACATGCCTGCTGAGTATTAGGCCATTCAGAAACTACCTAAAATCAGTTCTGAGGGTTTACATGAACAATTTTGTTACCTGAACTTGTGTAATAGTGACTGTTATTTAAAACAAATGAGCCATAAACCAGGCAGTGGTTTTTGTTCTCAGAAATTTTACTCATAGTAGGATTTTACCTATATGCATGTGTTACTGTGTCTCGGCAACCAAGAATGTACAACAGTGATATAGATTGTTAGAGTTCTCTCTCTCTCTCTTTTTTTTTTTTTGTATTTCTAATGCAAAAAAAAAAAAACAAATCTCATACAATACATTAAAGCAAAATCCTCTTTTGTAAAGCCCTTAAGTTTTTCAGGTAACTCTCTTACTATTTTTGTAATCTTTTTTTTTTTTTTTAAAGATTTATTTGACAGAGAGAGAGACAGCGAGAGAGGGAACACAGGCAGGAGGAGTGGGAGAGGGAGGAGCAGGCCTCCCGCCGAGCAGGGAGCCCAATGGAGGGCTTGATCCCAGGACCCTGGGATCATGACCTGAGCCGAAGGCAGACGCTTAATGACTGAGCCACCCAGGCGCCCTTGTAATCTTTTTTAAGAACTCAGATGAGACATGAATCTAGGAATAAGAATACCCTGTTTTTATTATAACAATGTAAATTTCGTACTCCAAGTTCAGAATCAAAACACAGATATTTGGGCTTAGATACTTCTGGCAAACAATAGAAATGAGGCCCACATAGTTGCTCTTTACGATGTATTTAAGAAAACGGCATGATGCATTTTCCTGTTGACAAGTGTACCTCCAGGGCCTCCACTTCATCCTTCAGGGATGTCATGATGGATTGGGTGTGACTTTTTCTTTTTCTTTTTTTTTTTTTTAAAGATTTTTTATTTATTTATCTGAGAGAGAGAATGGGAGACAGACAGCATGAGAGGGGGAGGATCAGAGGGAGAAGCAGACTCCCTGCCGAGCAGGGAGCCCGATGCGGGACTCGATCCCGGGACTCCAGGATCATGACCTGAGCCGAAGGCAGTTGCCTAACCAACTGAGCCACCCAGGCGCCCTGGGTGTGACTTTTTCAAAATTTAAATTAATTTGGTGAACCTACCCAGAACAGAGTTATGCGTATCCTGTATCTTGGGAAGCCTGGCAGGCCTAGCAGCCCCACATCATCCTGAGGGCACGGTTTGCCTGAGCAGCAAGACCCTGCCTGTGATGGCCCTTCCTACATGAGACAGGAAGGGATTCTCCCTTGGAGGAAAGGGCCCTGGGTGAGGAGTGCAGAAAACATCTCTGAGTCTTAATCAGCTTTTGTTCACCCTGTAAACCCCCTGAAGTCAGCTCCTCTGCAGGCCGGGCTCCCCATCCTTCCCAGAGTGGGCAGGTGGGGATGGATCAGCCCTCACACAGCCAAGGACAGCTTCTGGGGCATCCAAAATGGGGTGATTGGGGAGCAATGAGTGTCGTCCTTTTTCACTAGGCAGAGGGTGGCACTTTGGTGAGGATTCTGGTTTCTTATCTGAAACAGCAGCATCCCTGGGCTTTCAAGTTCAGTCCTTCGACAGCCCAGAGTGGAGAGGGAGAGGGAAGAGAGAGAAGAGGAGTTGGCTTTATGTAAGCAGATAATTTCCCCCTTTGTCTGCTGGGTTAGTTGGGTTGAGTTGGGTCGGGTTGGGTTGAGTTGGGTCGGGTTGGGTTGGGTCGGGTTGGGTTGAGTTGGGTCGGGTTGGGTTGGGTCGGGTTGGGTTGAGTTGGGTCGGGTTGGGTTGAGTTGGGTCGGGTTGGATTGGGTCGGGTTGGGTTGAGTTGGGTCGGGTTGGGTCGAGTTGGGTCGGGTTGGGTCGGGTTGGGTTGGGTCGGGTTGGGTTGAGTTGGGTCGGGTTGGGTTGGGTCGGGTTGGGTTGAGTTGGGTCGGGTTGGGTTGAGTTGGGTCGGGTTGGATTGGGTCGGGTTGGGTTGAGTTGGGTCGGGTTGGGTCGAGTTGGGTCGGGTTGGGTTGGGTTGGGTTGGGTTGAGTTGGGTCGGGTCGGGTTGAGTTGGGTCGGGTCGGGTTGGGTCGGGTTGGGTTGGGTTGGGTTGGGTTGAAAAGGTCCCTGATAGGGAGATGTGCCAGGTTTGGGCTGGAAGGAAGGCAGAAGGAAGGCAGATGTAACCTCCGTCAGAATCCAGGGCTGTGTGTGCAGAAGCTGTGCTGCCTGTGATCTCATCTGCTTCCTTAGCAGCTTTTTAATAGTACTTAGGAAATCCATAACTCATGTAGCTTGGCTCCTCTAGCCATTCCTGGTTGGAAATACAGATGGTTCCTTGGATGTGAAAATTGGGTAATCATCCACCTGACTCCCAGGCTTGCCTGAGCAAATGTAGGATTCTGTATGTACATGTAGATGGAGGACTGCAGGCACGAAAGATGGAGTAAACAACAAGCAGTTGGGAATGTGTACACGTCTGCCAAAGCCTTTCCAGGACAGGTGTTCCCATAAATGGGTAACAAATCGTACTGCCTCTTCATCTCCTACGGGGAAGACTTTTGGGGGAAGATCATGGCAAGAAAGCGAGGGTTACGGATGACAATAGTGCTTCACCGGTGCCCTGTTTCCTGTGTGGGAAGGGAGAATGGGGCTGTGAGGTGGGTCTGCCCCGAACCTGTCCACTGCTCTGGCTGGAACCTGCAGGTACTGCTAGGGGATCCTGCTCCCCCTTCCTGGCTCTCAGTTTGGACGCGAGGGTCAGGAATGCTGTGTTTGGCTGAAGGTATCGAAGAAGCCCTAAACTTGGTGTGTGCGCTCTCTGGCCAAAGCGTAGCCCTCCCGGGTCCCTGCTCTTTGACGTGTGATGCGAGCTATCCGAGGAGGCTCTGAGGGAGGTGGGACATCTCTGAGTTCAGGCTACTGGGGTGGGGGGGGGGGGGCGGCGGGCGGTGGGGGTCAGGAGGCCTGCCACGACAGCACGTGGCGTTTGGGGCCTGGATCCTTGGGATCTCGGGATTGTTCGTTTCCTAAGAGACAGTGCATGTGTGTTGGTGTGGTCTCTGCAGCTCTGACACCCACAGTCTTGCTTAGGAAGACACTGTCCTATGTCCTGTCCCCGTGTGTGGCCTCTCTTTCTGTGCTCGCGTGGCTGTACTCAGTGCTGTGTGTCCTGCCACAAGACTGTTGTGCGGCAGGGCAGATGGCTCGTGGTCCGGGTCCCCGAGGGCGTCCTCACGTGTGCGTGTTCTCTCTGCCGCCCTCAGAGAATTCTCAAAGGAAAGAGAGAAGGCTAAAGCCCGGGGAGATTTCCAGAAGCTCCGGGAGAAGCAGCAGCTGGAGGAGGATCTAAAGGGCTACCTGGATTGGATCACCCAAGCAGAAGACATTGATCCTGAGAACGAGGAAGAAGGAGGAGAGGAAAGCAAACGAAACAGTATGTAGCACCTTCCCACTCCTGACCAGCCAGAGCTCGGGGGTGATTCAGGCGCCCGCCGGGCGGAGACGTTTCAACCCCCTGACCTGGCCTGTGAGGTGGGCGGCCTCCTCTCAGCTGCCCGGTTCCTTCTGCCCGCCCCTCAGAGAGGACAGGTGCATTTACACTGACTCTGAGATTCCGCCCAAGGCTTGGGTTTTAGATTTGTGCCTGGTCACAGAGTCAGCCACACTCGCTCGTTGGAAATTCGGGGAGCCCCTTCTGTGGGGGCACCAGCCATGGTAGGACGCATGGTGACCCTACGGCACGGGAGCTGCGGCTTCTTCCCTGCGGAGCGAGTCGTGTTACTGGACGAGAACTTGAAGAGCAGGGTCTGTCTCCATCCTCGTGCCCCCTGGAATGGCTCCCATCTGTGCTCCACATGCAAAGCCAGATGCTTAGCCCGTCAGGAGCTGGGAAGAAACCAGTTCAGCAGTCTGGGCAGGGCGAGGAGGCATGTCAGTCGGCATGGCTCCTTGGACCCCACTCCCCTGGTAGCCCACTGTGGCACCAGACCCCTCGGGCACTGTCTGCAGCAGGAAAGCCCGATGCCCAGCGACCCCTGGAGTTCATTACCATCGTCAACCAAGGTGTGTCTTTTGCCACCTACTTTCCCTATAGATGTGCTCTTACTCTTTCCGGGTCATCTGTGCCTCAGGTAAAAGCAGAAATTGAAATTCAACAGTAGATTTGACTGAGATGCTTGTGGTTTGTTTCAAATCTAGAGTAGCTGATAGTAAGGACCGAGAACCTATCTCAAATGCACTTGTCCCTTGAGAGGCCTGGGGAACCAAGGTGGGTCCCACCTCGTGGAAGATGGGTGAGCGAGCTCTCCTTGGGCAGGGTCCCTAGGACGTCATGCAGTCACTCCTTCATTCAGCAAGGCGGGTGCTGGTTGCTGGGGGTGCTTCTGGATGCATCCCGAGGCCTATGCATCCCGAGATGCAGCCCAAGGGGACAGAGACGCAGGTCGTGAGGAGTGGCAAGCTGTATGTCTGGTGCTGAGAAGGTGAGGGCTGACTGCAGGGTTCCAGCAGGGAGCTGTGGGGCATTGGCCTCGAGCCTGGAAGGATGGAGGGGTCTGAGGTCGGTCGGTGTCAGGAGAAACATCCCGAGCCATGGCAGAGGTGTGAGGAGCGCACAGGGGTGGTTCATTCCTTAGGCTGGTTGGGAGAGATCGGCGGGGGGCTGGGTGGGTGAGGCCAGTTGGTGCCTCCTCTGTAGGCAGCTGATCATGCAAGTGAAGGCTGAGTGGCCCATGGTTGACTAAGATGGCCTTTTGGTTGCTTCTAGCTGGGGACTCTGGGTCTGTGCTTCCATCGGGAGTGTGGGTTTCCTATTCTCACAGCTGTAAATGATGGACTCAGTCCTGTGTGCTCCTGGGGGGCCAGCAGGGTGCAGACTCCTCCTCTCCCCTCCCTTCTGCTTCTCAGTGTCACTGGTGCTGCTCCCTCGAGAAAGAGACTGGGGACTCAGTGCCTGGGCATCAGGAAGCTGCCGGAGGATTTCTAGAGCTGCCTTTGTGTGCTGACTCTGAGATTGGAGTTCATAGGTGCTATTCCTTCCAGTTCCAAACGTGGTGATGTCCTCTGGGTCACTGGGTGTAAGAAGGGTGTCTGTGTCTTCAGGGCATTTGAGTCTGAATCCCCATGGTCTTCTTGCAGCTCCCGTGCCTACCATATGGCCCGCAACAGGCTGTACTTGGAGCAGGGGGGATCGTTTCCAGACTGCAGCTTCCATGCTGACCTGGGGGGGCGGGGGGTCTGCCAGCCATGTCCTCCCTCTCCTAATGTAGCATGTCGTGTGTGAGCCAGAGCATGGCCCCTTCCTTTACCAGTTGAGGTGTGTCTGACGGGGAGCTGGGTGAGCCTTTCAGGCGGTATCTTTTCATCTCTTCATTGGCCCGGCGTTGGCAATCGGGTCCCCATCCGTGCTGCTAGAATCAGCTGTGGTGAGACTGCTTGTGGCCTGTGGTTTGAGGAGCGGGCATTGTCACTGGACTCGAAGCAATGTCTTCTGAGAGTCCTGAGAGCTCTCGCTCGCTTTGTCTTAGCCCAGTACTTCCTGTGCCCTGCCACCATGTGTATAGGACCTGGCCACATGATGACAAAAATCTGTGCCTCTGCCTTTGGAAACCTAGCTGTGGAGGGAAGATGGAGAAGCGGGGCCTTGGCGTAAGATGGGGACAAGCTGGCCCCGTGATCAGGGGCCAGCAGTCTGCTATGGGAGCCCCGAAGGGCACAGCGAAGCAACCTGGGGCGGTAGGGTGGGGGGGGTGGGGGATGCAAGGGGGAGGCTCCCTAGAGGAGGTGGTGTTCCTGCTGAGCTCCAAGGAGTAGCAGCCTATGGTTTCAAAACATATGGGGGAGAGGGGAGTATTTCTTAGGCTGGGGAAAGGGCACGAACGAGGGACAGAAAGTTGTAAGTGTTCCAAGCCCTGCCGTGCATTGCTTAGTAGTATAATCAAGGCAAGAAATAACAGCCCTTTAAAAGTTGTAGATCCTCAGAATTCGCTTTGTCACCAGGACTCCTCACCCGGTAAAGCCGCGCCGAGTCTGGAACGGCAGCTCTGTGGTTTCTGCCGTGCATAGTGCTGTGTGGCTCAGCCTGGGGGACCAGCTTGACATTCCATCCAGAAGAGCGCATGCTTCTGTGGGGTGCTCTTGTCCTTTATCAGGCTCATTTTGCCAGATGCTGGGTTTTCCTGTGGAGTGAGGCTCTGATTTCCTGAGTCACCGGATTCCTGGAGCATCAGTGATTTGGGTCTGAAAGACAGACCTAGATCCCAGGCTGTGGGAACCATGTAGGGATTTAACTGACTTAAGACGAGAGCCCCAGATCTCCTCCCAACGAGGAAGCGGGCCTCCCTGAATATATTCCCGGCAGCCCAGACCTTCTGGCCAAGGAGAGCTGCTGGGGTTTGCCTGGGACATCCTGTGGTTGCCGGCTATTTTCTTCCTGTCACAGCAAGAAACCCAGGGGCGGGGGGAGGGTTTCCACAAGGCCTACATCGTCCCCCTCCCTAGCTGACAGCGGTTGATGTACCACCTGCACATGTTGTAAGCAGTGCGGCATGGGCATGGCCATTGCCAATGTGCTCCCTGAGTGTGTGAGATCCAGGCCTGCACACTTAACACTGCAGCCCTGCTCCTGTATGTTCTCGGGGAGAGGGGATGGGGCACTCCCTAGGCATCCTGGCTTTATCTGTACTGCCCTTTTCAGCTGGGTCCTGGATGGGATTGGGGCAGGTTCCTTCCAGACATGGGGGAGTTAAGTGACAGTGTGGCAGGAAGCCTTGCTATAGCCAAGTCTCAGCCTGTACAAGCAAAGGTGGGACGCCTCAGGAGCCATGAATAGCAGGTGTCATGAGCCTTTGGAAGTAGCGGCTAGACAGCATGTTGGTGCCCCTTCTCTGGAATTGGCTGCCATTGAGTTTTGTGACTCGGAATTTGGACTTGATTATAGGCACACTACCCAATGTCTCTGAGCCCCCGTTTCCCTGTCTTCAAGAAGGGGATAAATATTTGCCCATGGGGTTGTCGTGAGGATTAAAGTTTGATAACTGGCAGGAGTCACTGTAACCGTAGGAGGACTGACTACTGTAAAACTTGACCTAAAGAGAATAATTCTTGCAGAGCCTACTGGACCTCTAACCAACCTCAGGCTAAGGACCCCTTTTAGGACCATGTCCCTATACTCTCCTGTTCAGAGACTATAGAGTTCTAAAGTACTGATGGAAAACAAACCCATTGACCAGTCATGTTGGAGATACCAAGGCATGGCTTTCTGGCTCAACATCCGCCTGTGGTTTGTTGATGCTTGCTGTCAGAGAGCAGATGTCAAATCCAGTGCTTGGAGATACGCACACCTCATCTTTTCTCTCTGATCTACTAAATGTCCCTGTCTGCGTCTGTGGTACCCAGCTCTGGCTGTACATGACAGTCACCTGGGGAGCACAGAGGCATCCTGGTGCCATACTCCCCCCCCTCCCCCCGACGAAGACTTGTCTGTGTGCAGTGGGACCCAGGCATGGCTTTATGTGCTGCTCCCTGGAGGTTCCCGAGTGAAGCTGGGGTTGGCAACTCCTGAATATCACACTGTTTCAGGCTTTCACTTGAAGGAAGCCAGAGGGAGAGGCGGTCGGGGCCGTACCTGGGCTGTCTGCTGGGTACGGTGACCGGTAGCCCTAGCTTTGTGCATTCGTGGACTATTTAGAATGTCCGTTCTATAAATTTGCTGTTAGGAAGCTGGTGTTACTTGGTTAATTGAATGGACAAAATTCCCTTGGAAGTTAGTTCCTAAGCATTTGGGACATTTTCAAGGATAATTTACTTAACTTTTTGCTGAGCCTCAAGTTTCTTAAGAAACCCTGCCAAATCTCAAACTGATTTTTTAGATATATGCAGCTGCTTCTGTGTTAACAATGGCGTTTTTCTAGGGCCATTAAAATCTGGAAGCCTAAAATTCTATTTTAAACTCTTCTCATTGTCAGTGATTAGTCTTTTTTTTTTTTTTAAAGGAAAAAAAAGTCATTAAAAATAATGAAATCGTTTTAAAGGGAGCTCATTATAAAATTCTGGCCAGAAAAGCAGGGCTGTTTCACTGTGGGAACTATTAATGATCAATAATCTCTGTAAGTGGGGATACGTGATGCCCACAAGGAGCTCTCCTCTTCTTCAGAGGTCCTAGAGGCTGCCCCTTCCCTCCCCCCGCCCAGGAGTCCGTGCCCAAGGTTGCCACAGCTGTTCACCTCCCTTCCGCGTGCGCCCCTCGGGTGCCTTTTACTGAGATGTTTGATTTGGGGACGGGCAGGAAATCAGGGATGGCATAGCTGTTTGCAAGCACAGGGCATGGAAGTGTGTTGGTCCAGTTTCAAAGCTTTTGTCTTCAAAGTACGACTTATCAAACTGCTTTCATTATAGTTAAACTAGCTCAGGGTGCAAATTCAGAATGGAACACAT